GAGAGTAGTAAAATACACACCTTGGACTTCAGAAGAGCAGACTGACTCCCTCAGAGACCTGATGGGCAGAATCCCCTGGGATGCTAACATGAAGGGGAAAGGAGTCCTGGAGAGCTGGCAGTATTTTAAAGAAGCCTTGTTAAAGGCACAGGAAGAAACCATCCTGATGCACAGCAAGAAAAGCAAATATGGTAGAAGACCAGACTGGCTTACTGGGGACATCCTTGGTGAACTTAAGCACAAAAAGGAAGCTTACAAGGAGTGGAAACTTGGACAGATGACTAGGGAGGGGTTTAAATGTATAGCTTGAGAATGCTGGGGAGTTATCAGGAAGGTGAAAGCGCAATTAGAATTGTGACTAGCAAGTGATGTGAAGGGGAACAAGAAAGGTTTCTACAGGCAAGTTAGCAATAAGAGGGTGATCAGAGAGGGTGTGGGGCCCTTACTGAATGAGGGAGGTAACCTAGTGACAGATGAAGTGAGAAAAGCTGAAGTACTGAAGGCTCTCCTAAATGATACAATATGGGAAAAAGGTGGAGAGTCCTAGGTGGGGAAAGAACAGGTTAGGAACTGTTTAGAAAAGCTAAACATACACAAATCCATGGGTCCAGATTTAATGCATCATAGGGTATGTCTACACTACCCTCCTAGTTCGAACTAGGAGGGTAATGTATGCATACCGCACTTGCTAATGAAGCCCGGGATTTGAATTTCCCTGGCTTCATTAGCATAAGCCCGGCTCCGCCATTTTTAAAAGCCGGCTTGTTCGAATCCCGTGCCGCGTGGCTACACGCGGCATGGGCTAGATAGTTCGAACTATGTAGCCATTCCGATCTATCTGTACACCTCCTGAATTGCCTGTGTACTGCCATATTGGTTTCCCAACAGATGTCAGGGTGATTAAAGTCCCCCACAAGAACCAGGGCCTGAGATCTGGAAGCTTCTCTCAGGTGTCCGAAGAAAGCCTCATCTACCTCATCCACCTGATTCGGTGGCTTGTAGCAGACACCAACCACAACATCACTGCTGTTGTTTGCTCCTCTAAACTTAACCCATAGACTCTCAACAGGTTTTTCTCCCTCTTTATACTGGAGTTCAGAGCAGTCATAGTGCTCTCTTAGGGTATGTCTACACTACCCTCCTAGTTCGAACTAGGAGGGTAGTGTAGACATACCCTGAGGGAGTTGGCAAATGTCATTGAGGAGCCTTTGGCCATTATCTTTGAAAAGTCGTGGAGTTCGGGAGAGATCCCGAATTACTGGAAAAAGGCAAATGTAGTGCCCATCTTTAAAAAAGGGAAGACAGACAATTCAGGAAACTATAGGCCGGTCAATCATACCTTAGTCCCTGGAAAAATCATGGAGGGGATCCCCAAGGAATCCATTTTGAGGCACTTGGAAGAGGGGAAAGTGATCAGGAATAATCAGCATGGATTCATGAAGGGCAAATCATGCCTTAACAGTCTGATTAGCTTCTATGACGAGATAAGTGGCTCAGTGGACAGGGGAAAGTCAGTGGATGTGATATACCTTGACTTTAGCAAGGCTTTTGATACGATCTCCCGCAATATTCTTGCCAGCAAGTTAAGGAACTATGGATTGGATAAATGGACGGTAAGATGGATAGAAAGATGGCTAGAAGGCTGGGCCCAACGGGTAGTGATCAACGGCTCGATGTCAGGTTGGTGGTCGGTTTCTAGCGGAATGCCCCAAGCTTCGGTTAGAGGACTAGTTTTGTTCAATATCTCTATGAATGACCTGGATGAGGGGATGGATTGCACCCTCAGCAAGTTTGCAGATGACACTAAGCTAGGGGGAGAGGTAGATACGCTGAACATCAGGAATACGGTCCAAAGTGACTTAGACAAATTGGAGGATCGGGCCGCAAAAAATCTGATGAGGTTTAACTAGTACAAGTGCAGAGTCCTGCTGTTGGGACGGAAGAATCCCAAGCATTGGTACAGGCTGGGGACTGACGGGCTAAGTAGCAGTTCTGCAGAAAAGAACCTGGGGGTTACAGTGGACGAGAAGCTGGATATGAGTCAGCAGGGTTCCCTTGTAGCCAAGAAGGCCAGTGGTATATTAGGTTGCATTAGGAGGAGCATTGCCAGCAGATCCAGAGAAGTGATTAATCGCCTTTATTCGGCTCTGGGGAGGCCACATCTGAAGTATTGTGTCCAGTTCTGGGTCCCCAATTACAGGAAGGATGTGGACACATTGGAGAGGGTCCAGCAGAGAGAGACCAAAATGAAGAGGGGGCTGGAGCACATGACCTCTGAGGAGAGGCTGAGGGATTTGGGTCTGTTTAGTCTGCAGAAGCGAAGAGTGAAGGGGGATCTGATAGAAGCCTTCAACTTCCTGAAGGGGGGTTCCAAAGAGGATGGAGAGAGGCTGTTCTCAGTAGTGACAGGGGGCAGAACAAGGAGCAATGGGCTCAAGTTGTGGTGGGAGAGGTCCAGGTTGGATATTAGGAAAATCTATTTCCCTAGGAGGGTGGGGAAGTTCTGGGATGGGTTCCCTAGGGAAGTAGTGGAGTCTCCATCCCTAGAGATTTTTAAGTCTTGGCTTGACAAAGCCCTGGCTGGGTTGATTTAGGTGGGATTGGTCCTGCCTAGAGCAGGGGGCTGGACTTGATGGCTTTCTAAGGTCTCTTTCAGCTCTATGGTTCTATGATTTTAGTGCAGCCTGACTCACAAAGGCATCACGGTGATCATTATGCATCAAATCCATGTGATTGTTTTAAAAAGCATTGAAATATACTGCCCCTGTAGAAATCCAGACTCTCCCAAGAACACAAAAATCTTCCAGAATAATGTGTCCCCCCCAGCACTACACACAAACCTCAAGCTCTGTTAAGTAGCAGACAAAAGTGTCACCAGGAAAAGAACAATCTGACAAAGAAAACATTCTAAAGTTTGTAGAGTCCAATAGCTTCCATTCTGACAAAGCGACTTCCTTAAATCCTTACCTGGACCAGTCACTTTGGAACATAAGAACGGCCGTACTGGGTCAGACAAAGGTCCATCCAGCCCAGTGTCCTGTCTGCCAACAGTGGCCAATGTCAGGTGTCCCAGAGGGAGTCAACAGAACAGGTACTGGTCGAGCTATCACTCTCCTGCCATCCGTCTCCACCCTCTGTCAAACAGAGGTTAGGGACACCATCCCTTACCCATCCTGGCTAATAGCCATTAGTGGACTTGAGCTCCATGAATTTATCTGGTTCTCTTTTAAACTCTGTTATAGCCCTAGCTTTCACAGCCTCCTCTGGCAAGGAGTTCCACAGGTTGACTGTGTGCTGTGTGAAGAAGAGCTTCCTTTTATTTGTTTTAAACCTGCTGCCCATTAATTTCATTTGGTGTCCTCTAGTTCTTATATTATGGGAACAAGTAAATAATTTTTCCTTATTCACTTTCTCCACACCACTCATGATTTTATAGACCTCTATCATCCCCCCTAAGTCTCCTCTTTTCCCTGCTGAAAAGACCCATTCTCTTTAATCTCTCTTCATATGGGACCCGTTCCAAACCCCTAATAATTTTAGATGTCCTTTTCTGAACCTTTTCTAATGCCAGTAGATCTTTTTTGAGATGAGGAGACCACATTGGTATGTAGTATTCAAGATGTGGGTGTACCATGAATTTATATAAGGGAAATAAGATATTCTCTTATTCTCCATCCCTTTTTTAATGATTCCTAACATCCTGTTTGCTTTTGACTGCTGCTGCACACTGGGTGGACATGTTCAGAGAACTATCCACAATGATGCCAAGATCTTTCCTGATTAGTTGTAGCTAATTTTGCCCCCATCATACTATGTGTCTAGTTGGGGTTATTTTTTCCAAAGTGCATTATTTTTCATTTATCCGCATTAAATTTCATTTCCTATATTCTAGCCCAAGCACTGGTCTTAATTCTCTTGAGCAGTTTGGTATCATCTGAAAACTTTGCCACCTCACTATTTACCCCTTTCTCAGATCACTTATGGATAAGTTAAATAGGATTGGTCCCAGGACTGATCCTTGGGGGACACCACTAGTTACCCCTCTCCATTCTGAAAATTTACCATTTATTCCTACCCTTTGTTTCCTGTCTTTTAACCAGTTCTCAATCCATGAAAGAACCTTCCCTCTTATCCCATGGCCATGGAATTTACACAAGAGCCTTTGGTGAGGGACCTTGTCAAAGGCTTTCTGGAAATCTAAATACACCATATCTACTGGATCCCCCTTATCCACCATATCTACTGGATCCCCCTTATCCACATGTTTGTTGACTCCTTCAAAGAACTCTAATAGATTAATAAGATATGATTTCCCTTTACAGAAACCATGTTGACTTTTGCCCAACAAATTATGTTCTTCCATGTGTCTGACAATTTTCTTCTTTACTATTGTTTCAACTAATTTGCCCGATACTCACATTAGACTTACTGGTCTTTAATTTCCGGGATTGCATATAGAGCCCTTTTAATACATTGGTGTTACATTAGCTATCTTCCAATCATTGGATATAGAAGTGATTTAAAGGATAAGTTACCAACCACAGTTAATAGCTCCACAGTTTCCCATTTGAGTTTTCAGAACTCTTGGGTGAAAGCCATCCAGTCCTGTTGACTTGTTACTGTTAAGGTTATCAGTCTGTTCCAAAACGTCCTCTAATGACACCTCAACCTGTGACCATTCCTCAGATTTGTCACCTACAAAAGATGGGTCAGATCTGGGAATCTTCTCAACATCCTCAGCCATGGAGACTAAAGCAAAGAATTCATTTAGTTTCTCCACAATGACTCTTGCCTTTCTATATCTCAGTCATTCAGGGGCCCCACTGGCTGTTTAGCAGCTTCCTGCTTCTCATGTACTTAAGAAACATTTTGTTATTACCTTTGGAGTTTTTGGCTAGCTCTTTCTTCAAACTCCTTTATGGTTTTTCTTATTAAATTTTTACACTTAATTTGACAGTGTTCATGCTCCTTTCTATTTACCTCACTAGGATTTGACTTACCTCAAGAGTCCAGTATTTGCTCCTCCTTCACCAGGAGAACTCCCTCTCCAAACTCCCTGTTTGCTGCCTCTGTTTGCAAAGCTCCCTGGTCACTGGCTCTCGGGCTTTATAAAGCCTTGGCCTTCCTGATAGCCCTGCCCCATGACTAAGACTCAACCAATGAACAGAGGCTTCTAGATTTCAAACCTTGTTTAGAAGTTCACAGATTCCAACTGTCAGCCACAGCACACAGTCCTTCAAACAAACAAAAACAGACAGACCATCACAAGCTCAGCACACAGCAAGTAACCCCAAACAGAAACACATACCACAGACAGCCACTTCCCTCAAGGGTCCTGTATTTGCTCCTCCTTCCCCTGGAGAACTCCCTCTTCAAACTCCCTGTTAGCTGCCCCTGTTCTCAAAGCTTGACTCTAATCATACAGCTTAGGCAGGAGAGTTCAAGAAATTGTGCTGCTTTCTCCAACAGCTTCACACAGAATTTTCAGCAAACTTGAAAGTGAAATAATCATCACACACACACACACCACCCCCACTTGCTGCATTTCTGGGAAAGCTTTCAGTCATAGAACACCACCGTCCTAGAGACCAGGGACCCATATGCTCCAAACCAGGCCACTTTTGGAGAGACACAAATTCTAATGAGATAAAAGCAAGGGATTTAGAGCTAACAACCCTATTTGAAGAGAAGCACACTCTAGAACATGTTCACAAAACTGGCTTTGTTTCTTTGTTTGCTAAAAATGTGCATTTGGGTTACTGAAACATTGTGAACTTCCCTTGAATTTGCCAAATTGTTTCAGCTGGATTTTTTTCTCAAATTACAATAGGAAAAATGTTTTGATTCAAAATATTTTTTCCTATCAAAATGTACTTTCATTTCTTTATTTAAAGGGTAAAATAACATAGAAAATGGAAAGAAACACATTGTTCTAAATGAATTGTTTTAGGATTTTTTTTTAAAAAGGCACCATTTCCCTTTCAGGAAACCTTTTCTCCTTGGGTTGCTTAAGGGTAGGCAGCACTAAGTAAGCCCTTGGGGAATTGGAACATTTGAGCCAGCAATTTCGTAAAGAGGAGGAAGAAGGTAGAATCTGCACTTTTCCAGCTGAAAGACCTCCTGAGATTGCCAGAACTGGAGACTGGGATCAGATAGTTGACCTCTTTGTCTCATTTTTTGCAACAATTACTAGATCAGCTTGTTGATATGCTAAATCAACATACAAAAAAGGGGGAGGATGGAGAATAAGACAGAGAACACTTATGGCCTCTAAATCCAGCTTGAATACTGTGTACAGATGTGGTTGCCTCATCTCAAAAAAGATGTACCTGCTTTAGAAAAGGTTCAGAAAAGGCAACACAGTTTTGTTAGACTGTGGAAGTGGAGTTAGAGTCCATGAAGGGCTATCAGGGTGGAAGTTACTGGCTCAGATTGTCATACAAAACTTAAAAACCAACCAATGATTTCGTAGAACTTTATAGACTAACAAAACATGTAGATGGTATCATGAGCTTTCGTGGGCACAGCCCACTTCTTCGGATGACTGGGGTTTTGAGTTTAGGATGTACAGACCCAAAATAAATAGGGGAGAAGAGAAAGGGAGGAAAGGAAAAAATGAAAAGGGGTGGGAAACAAGGATCAGAGGGTATAAAAATATCAAAGGGAAAACCAAATAGGCAGAACTGATAATCAATAAGCACCTGAAGATTGGATAGTTAAAAGAAGCAGACAGGACTCAAAGGAGAGCAATTAGATAGGAAGGGTACTAACACAAATCTACACAGACACAGAGATGTGAACACCTTCACTGAATGTTAGGTTGATCATGTCCCAGCCATCCATTATCACGATTGAGTGGGCTGGGCTATCACAGTGAGAATTGAATTTGTGGATGAATTGTAATTCCATCACCTCTCTGGCTGGGTCTAGACTGGCATGATTTTGCGCAAATACTTTTAACGGAAAAGTTTTTCCATTAAAAGTATTTGCGTAAGAGAGCGTCTATATTGGCATGTGCCTTTGCGCAAAAGATTTTCTTTTGCACAAAAGCATCCCTGCCAAGTATAGACGCTCTCTTATGCAAGAAAGCTCCGATGCCCATTTTAGCTGTTGGGCTTTCTTGCGCAAGAAATTAAGGTGGCTGTCTACACTGGCCCTCTTGCGTAAGAATACTTGCACAAGAGGGCTTATCCCTGAGCAGGAGCATCAAAGTATTTGCACAATAACCACTGATTTTGTACATTACAAAGTCACTGCTCTTGCACAAATAGTCGTGGCCAGTGTAGACAGGCGGGAACAATATTATTATATCCATTATACAGATTGGGTGCGTCTAGGGCAGCAAGATTTTGCACAAAAGCAGCCACTTTTGCACAAAATCTTGCCAGTCTAGATGCAGCCTCTGTGTATTTGGCTAGTAGAATTGGTCTGTGACAAGACAGCCACTTGAAGATCTTTTAAAGAGTGATTAGGGAGATTGAAGTGTTTCCAGAACAGGTTTCTGTATGTTCCCTTTATAGATATCTGATTTGTGTCCATTGATTCTTTCCCACAAGGACTGTCCAGTCTGTCCAATATATATAGTACTAGGGTATTGCTGGCATTTGACGGCATAGATCACATTACTGGATGTGCAGTTGAATAAGCCTTTGATTTGGTAGCTTTTGTTGTTGGCTCCAGTAGTGAATTCGCTTATATAGATATGTGGGCAGAGTTGGCACCACGGCTGATTGCAGGGCTGGGTTCCTGGATACTTTGGTGTGGTTGTGTAGCATCGTTATTGGAAAGAATTTGTTTCAGGTTGGGGGGCTATCTGTAAGCAAGAATAGGCTATTCCCCCAAGGCTCAGAGAGAGAGCGATCATTTTCCAAGCTGGGTAGCAATTGTGTGTAATGCAGTGGAGGGGTCTGAGTTGTGGACTGTAGGCAATGACAAGTGGAATTATTTCTCCAGGCAGGTATTTCAGTTTTAGAACTTTGAAAAGGCCTGGGGACTCTTATGCAAAAGGCCGGGCTCCCTTTCAGACTCTGTGGGATCTCACTTAGCTCAGTTCCCAGCGGGGTGTCAAACCACAGCACCACCTCAAAGGAGTCCAAAGCCCCAGGTTCCTTCCTGCTGGGTCACAGCAGCTGTTCCCCACAGGCTGATTAAAAGGTTTCCACTGGCTTTGCTGATGGCCTGTCAGCCCTGTTCAGTGTCTTCTCCTAACTCTGAGTCTAGTTGTGGGGTGTAGGCCAACAGCTCTGCCCTGGAGCTCAGGCCTATGCTTGGGCCAGCACCCACCCCGTTCCCAGCATATGTATGTCCAGAGCAAACAAATGTGCCCTATCCAATCCAGGGCCCCCACTCTGCTGGCTGGCTGGGCCC